GGCACATGAGTCACAGGAATGGAGACTCTGTATAAACGGCACGTGAGTCACAGGAATGGAGACTGTATAAACGGCACATGAGTCACAGGAATGGAGACTCTGTATAAACGGCACGTGAGTCACAGGAATGGAGACTGTATAAACGGCACATGAGTCACAGGAATGGAGACTCTGTATAAACGGCACGTGAGTCACAGCAATGGCCTCAGTCTCTTTTTGTTTTGTTCCCTAGGTACCTGTCTAAAGACAGAGATGCCACCATGACTGTTCTGGACATCACCCTCCTCACTGGCTTTGTAATAGATCAGGATGACCTGAGAAGGGTAAAAGGATCATAACCGCAAACTGGTCTGATACCTGCCTTTTATAAGGTGGAGCTTTTGCATAATGTGACTGTCTGATAGGGCAGCGCGGTGGTGCAGGGGCTGGCACTGTTGCCTCACAGTGAGAAGGTTCTGGGTTCGATCCCTGGGTCACCCAAAGTGCCTTTCTGTCTAGAGTTTGCATGTTCTCCCCGTGCATTCGTGGGTTTCCTCTGGGTGCTCCGGTTTCCTCCCACAGTCCAAAGACATGCAGATTAGGTTGACTGGCTACTCTATATTGCCCATAGAAGTGAGTGTGTGTGGCTGTTTGTCTGTGTTGGCCCTGTGGTGGACTGGCGATCTGCCCAGGGTTTCCCCTGCCACTCGCCCGATGATGCTGGGATTCGCTCCAGCTTCCCCATGATCCTGATTGGATAAAGCAGTATAGATAGTGTACGGATGGTCTGATATCCCATCTTGTGTGAAGATATTGGAAAAATATAATTTTTTCAGGCAGGATCTTCCAAAATCTTTTCACAGTTCTTTTCATTGTTTTTCAAGACTATTTTGCGAGTTACCAAAAAGTAACCATATCTGTTTTGGAAAATCCAAAGAACTTCCATATTACCGATGTCAAATTCTACGTAGGGACCAACTCTTCCATGTCGTCCAGGCCACTACATTTCCAAATAGGGAATGTGTTGCATGTTGTGCATTGTACATTGGGACACTAACGATCTCTCCGTAAATGCAGATCGTGGAAACATTTTAGATCTTCATGATCTAATATCGTCACATTGCACACCCCTAGTAAAGAGTACCTAAGGATCGAGGGCTGTGTACAATGTTCATGGTCCTGCCGCTCAGAATTGTGGGTGATGGCCTTCTCTCTGTCCCACAGCTAACCACAGGAAAGGACAAGTATGTTCAGAGGTTTGAGATGGACAAGCAGCTGTCTGAGAAGGGCTCCCTCATCCTCTACCTGGACAAGGTGTGAGGAGTCCACAAGCGTTCCTCGGGGTCCTGCTCAGGTTTTTGCATTTCGACCTGTGCCGTGACACATCTGCCACACTTCCTGTTTCTCCAGGTCTCTCGTAAGGTGCCTGACAGAGTGGTCTTCAGGCTGCACAAGGACCAGAACGTGGGCATCCTCCAGCCAGCTGGCATCACCATCTATGAGTACTACTCCATGGGTGAGTGCCAGCCCTCCACCTACAACTTATCATCTTCATGCCTTTGACCACCCTGTTTTTCTCAATCAAGAAGTGTCTGCTGGCACCAGGACTTGTGACCTTTAAGTCCAGAGCATCAGCAGGCAGCCTCACTCAATGCAGCTGCTGCTGTTGTTGCAGAGAATCGCTGTACGCAGTTCTACCATCCAGAGAAGAAGAATGGCAGCCTGAACCGCATCTGCCATGAAGATGTGTGCCGCTGTGCTGAAGGTATGAAACGTCACTCATGAGTAACACTGAAATGTTTTAACCATGAGTTTCCTGTTCAGTGCAGAGTACGAGTGAGTCTGGAGTCCATTCTGATCCTTTTCCATTTTTATGGAAAATTGATGTATGGACGGTAACTCTGTGTTTCCCCCTTAGAGAACTGCAGCTTACAGAAAAAACTTGGAAAAGAAGACCTGGACCGCTACACAGAAGCATGTAACGCTGGTGTCGACTACGGTACTAACCTTTTGATGTGTGCTAAGTTCACACTACACCATTTTAGCCCAGATTTTCCACTCAACAACAGTATCTGGAGATCGCCAACCAAAGCTTTAGATCAGAGGCAAATTGGTCTTTGCACAGTGCTGGCAAATTGGCACTCAGTCATTGTTCATGAACTGTTTCAAGACGCAATCCGGCAGACTCCTCGGTGTGTCACAGATGCCCATCAAATATCTAGCAGCCGAAGTATCTGGACCTGTCAGTGACTCCAAATTCTGTGGTGTAAAATGTGTTGTGACCCGGTTGCAACTGGCAATGAGTGTGGCGATGAGCTACAGCCAATGATTTGGCAAAACATGGGGTGAGAAAAGCCTGGGGGAGGAGTTATACATCAACAAGCATTTCCTGCTGCTGCTTCTTGCATGTGTTTACATGACAAAAGGAAGTTTAGAAACCAGATAGACTCATCAAGGATTCCTCCTGGTTAAGGATCTTGTAGTATGTGGGCCCCTGTCGCTGATCAGTCAATGGAATGTGCAAACCACAATGACTTCAAGATTCCAAATGACTAGCCAAGTAGTGCAGTGTAAATAGTACAGCAAACAGACGTCTATGAGACTCACGCAGTGTAAACGTAGCATTACGTGGTGTTTCATCAGTTATGGAGGGCTACATAGACACAAAGTCAAGCATGTGGGCCCGGGGATGTGTGCTCATGAAGCTCTCCTGGTTTTCACAGTTTACAAAGCCACGGTGCAGGATGCTGAACTCTCTCACACCCTGGACCGTTTCATCCTGCAGATTGTCGAGGTGATCAAAGAAGGTACAGCCTGACCTGGTCCCAAGCCGGGCTTCTTCTGAGTCTCACACAGGATGTCGCTCTGTGTAATAATAATAATAATCACTTTATTAATCCACGTGGGGAAATAGTTTTTTGCGGCTCCCTCAACTCGTTCATTGTAAGCAAGCTGTCCGCAAAGGGCAGCCACCCGTAGCGGCACCCAGGGAGCTGGGGGTTAAGGGCTTTGCTCAAGGACCCGCAGACATGCTGAGGCTGGGTTTGAACCAGTGACCTTCGGATTACAGGCACACAGGCTTAGCCCACTGAGTCACACGCTGCCTGTCTGCTTATTTTCTGTCTCACCAGGCACCGACACTGGGGTTCAGGGCCAAAGACGGCAGTTCATTTCACACCCCTACTGCAGAGACGCAATTGACCTGCAGGTGGGCAAGACCTACCTGCTGATGGGCAAGTCGGAGGACCTCGTGAAGAGTGACAAGGAGAGGTGGGGGCCATTCTCACATCCACACTTTATATAGCTGTTTGGTAAAACCAAAGATGCATGTAATTATCCAGACCCCAACCGCAAACCTGCTGCTGCCATGAGCCACAAAACTGGCTGAGTAAGAAAGAACTTCCATCATCAAGCTTATTCACTGTTTCATTTAATTTATGCCGCTATGTAGAGCACTCCCGATAAATGATGCCGACCGATGTGGCTCTGAAAGCTTACTCTGATCCGATTTCTTCTGCAGCCTCTACATGCTGGGAGGAGGGACGTGGATTGAGTACTGGCCCACCAACGAGGACTGTCAGAAAGACGAGTATCGGCAGACCTGCCTGAGCATCGCAACTTCCACCACAGACCTCTTAACTTTCGGCTGTCCCACCTAAGCTGTCACCTGTCCGTCTGTGTGTATGCGTGTTTGCCCATGTGTTGTCCTTCACAAATTTCATGCCTGAGATCATGCCGGTTCCTCAGCCGTGCATCACCTGCTTACACGGAACAATGTAAACAACAGCATCTTTCGGATCCCACATAGCTTTTAAGTAGAACCTTCCTTGTAATCTACAATCAAGTTTCAGTTCAATTCACCCTTGGCTGTGTTTTGATATTTAGACTCAAAATGTCTAAAACGCAAGAACAAAAAAAACATGAACATATGGAAATAAAATTTTCAGTCATGTAGTATTTTCCTGCAATCCAGTGAGGAATTCAATATGAAATTCGTTTTCTGAACACATCAGAATGATTGTCCATGCCAAGAAGATTCACAATATTTGTGGAGAAAAATCTGAAATAAAAAAGCAGTATTACATGACCTATTTATGTCATTTATTAAGAAAAACACCCGTCATCTCTCCACATCATGACGTTAGCCTGGGGCAGGGGTCTGCAGGCCCTAACGATCCGCAGAGCCATCAGTGTCACTCGCAGCTGGAGAATCTGGTAGGACCTTCTTTGGTGAACAGGTCTGTGGGGAGAGGCCAGTCAAATTATTATCCAGCTAACACCCCCAGGGAAACGTGCCAAGAAGAACCATGGACCCTGACCAGAATATGGCTACCCGAGATGGCCTGGGGGTGAGAACCTGCACCAGCAACATAAGCCAGCCAGGCTCAGCCCTAGATGCCCACAGGGAGCCATCTTGTGGGCTCACTATTGTGATGAAAGGCTCCACTTGCCTAAGTTGCTCCTCTTGCTGTCATCCCTGCTCGAAATGCAGGGTAACCTGAAAAAATAAGGAAGCGTATCCTAAGGTACTTGACCAGTTGTAGGGCTCCCCTGGGGCACTGAGTGACACGAAGACCTGGCTGACTGCTGCTCCACGTCCTCAGGAGGCCTGCCTAGGGGGACGAGCACCTCACATGTCCCAACCTCATTCACGTCTTGGACTTAATAAAATGAAGTAGTGCTTCCTTTGCTTTAATTGTTTGCTGGTGCCTGAGAGACTTAACTGTCTGGCTTTGTCTATTTTAAATAGCATTTTCAGTAGTCAAAATTTTATGTATTAAATAGACTAATAACAGCACACATCAAGTTTATGCTTGTCTTGAAAGTCAACTGACTTCATTTACAGAACGCTGACAGAGGCAGGTGCACACTGCCACCTAGTGACCTCAATAGGAATTGTGTTTGATTCAATGATGAACTAGCAACCGTATCACAGGATTTGAGAATCATTTTAGAGCTTTATGTCACTCTGTAGGCAGATGAGTTTCCTCCTTCAGTGCTCTTCAGCAAACATGAAATGTTACAAAGTCAAAGAATTTGCACTGTCATCGGAACAGAAGGGTGTGAAGCGGGTCTCATGAATGAGGTTTTCCCAGTGAAAGCATCGCTTCACAGCCTTCTGTTCCGATGACAATGCAAATTCTTTGACTTCGTAACATTTCATGTTTGCTGAAGGACAGCAGAGTTTTCATGGCTTTTTGAATTACAGCACTGATTGGGACTTGAACTAGAAAACAAATATGTTCAGGCTTCCATTCAAGAGATGAGTCTGTGCTGATAGTCGGCCTGTTAATCTACTAATTACTTAATGCACTTCTGGACTGCACCCAAAACAAAGATACCCTCTTTAAAGTGTAGCTATTCACTTCTCCTTTTCCAGGAGTCAGTCTCTGGTCACATTATTGAAATCTTCAGCTTTCTTTCATGAAGGACTGGCCATAGCTGAATGCGTGCTCTCCGGTCAGCAAACCAATGCCGCTTGGAGTTCACCGTGTCATGTGTCATTGTTATCTGCTGGTGTGGTACCTTCTGATTGGAAGCATGTTAATGAAATGCCCATATTTAAAAAAAGGATAGAAGTAATCCAGCAAACTATAAGCCAATCGGTTTAACTTGCATAACTGGAAAAGTGATGGAAGCTATAATCAAAGTGAAAATGGTAGATTACCTGGATTCAAATAACATTCTGATAGCCAACATGGGTTTAGGAGAGGTAGTGTCACACTTGGGCAAGAAGGGAGACAGAGATCCAGGAATGCAGGGACAGGAAGGCTTTAATGAGTCGAACTGAAAACAAGCACAGACAGGGTATGGCCCCGTGCAGAGATGGAGCGCTGTCTCCTCAGCCCGGGCGCTGATGGAGAGAGCTGTGGGCAAGGGTGCGATCCCTCTCACCGAGAGCCGATAGAAAGGTACAGGAGAGGCGAGCAGAAGTCGTGGACGTTGTCCGTGAGCAGTGGTCGTCGTCAAGGGAATCCGTCCAACAAGGAGACACAGGACCGGGGAACACGAGGAGGGGAGAACAAGAGACGCCGGGCTCAGCAGGACAGGTAGGTTAAGGACGGGAGCTGGTCTGAGGAGGGAAGGTAAGAAGGTAAGGATCGCACATGTGGTAAACAGGTAAGGCTAGGGAAAGCGGGTAGACAAAAGACAAGAATAACGCTCGGTATGGCTCTCTAATCATCGGCTCAATACTTCGCGAGGAAGTTCTGGGGTTGCTCGGCTTTTAAGAGTGGCTAATCGTCTGTCGACGAGCTGCATCTGTCGGACCCCACCCCCATGGGCGTGACAGGTAGATCCTGTTTAACTAATTTATTTGAGTTCTTTGAGGAAGCTACAAGAGAAATTGATCACAAAAAAGCCTACAATGTGATCACCTTAGATTTCCAGAAGCCCTTTCATGTTGTCCTCCACAAATGGCTCTTGCTTAAGCTCAAAGTTGCAGGGATTTTAGGAACTGTAGCAGCTTGGATTAAAAACTTGTTAACAGACAGGAAGCAGCGGGTAGATATTAGAGGCAAAATGTCACAGTGGGCCTGCATTCATAGTGGGGTACCACAGGGTTCAATTTTAGGACCACTATTGTTCCTAATTTACATTAATGATATTGACACCAATACATACAGTAAACTGGTTAAATTTGCAGCCGACACCAAGGTGGGTGGTGTAGCAGATACTGATCTAGCAACAGAGAGGCTACAACGGGATCTGGATTTAATTAGCGACTAGGCTGATACCTGGCAGATGAAATTGAACATAGATAAATGTAAGGTAATCCATGCAGGGAGCAGAAATATAAAGTACAGATATTTTATGGGACCTACTGAAATAAAGGTAGCTGATTATAAGAAAGATCTCGGTGTTGATGCTTCCATGTCCCACTCTCGCCAGTGTGGGGAAGCAATAAAAAAGGCCAATAGGATGTTGGGGTATATCTCCAGGTGTGTGGAGTTTAAGTCAAGGAAGGTGATGCAACGATTATATAATTCCTTGGTAAGACCCCACCTAGAATATTGTGTGCAGGTTTTGTGACCATACCTTAAAAAGGACATTGCTGCCTTGGAAAGGGTGCAACGTAGGGCTACAAGAATCATTCCTGGTCTTAGAAGAATGTCTTATGAGGAGAGGTTAGCTGAGCTGAATCTGTTTAGCCTTGAGCAAAGGAGACTAAGGGGGGACATGATCCAGGTATATAAGATTCTAACGGGTCCGGATGCTGTTCAGCCAAATGGTTATTTCAATATTAGTTTAAATACAAGAACTTGTGGCCATAAGTGAAAATTAGCAGGAGAACATTTTAAAATCAATTTGAGAAAGCACTTCTTTACACAGCATGTAGTTAGAGTATGGAATAGTCTTCCTGCTAGTGTAGCGGAAGCTAAAACCCTGGGTTCCTTTAAATCAGAGCTAGATAAGATTTTAACAACTCTGAGCTATTAGTTAAGTTCTCCCGAAACGAGCTTGATGGGCCGAATGGCCTCCTCTCATTTGTAAATTTCTTATGTAATGCTAGGACTTTTAAAGGGTAGATCAGAGATTATTACTTCTCCGCAGATTGTCCATGGACTATCTACCGGGCTTGATTTGATCCAATTTGTTATATACTGCAGTCTGTTGGCTAAGAAGTAGTGATAAAAATTTGGTAGTTCTAGACCACCATTACCTTTAGCTTTTTGTAGGGTTTTTAAGCTTATTCACGATGGTTTGTTCTTCCATAAAAATGACAAGATGCTTGAGTCTAGTGATTTAAACCAAGCAATAGAGGGTTTATTGGGGATCAGTGAGAACAAGTAATTGATTTTAGGCAGGACCATCATTTTAATGGTGGTAATTCTACCCATGAGTGATATAGGTAGAGATTTCCATAGCATTAGATCATTACCTTTTGTAATACTGGAATGTGATTCATCTCTACCAAGTCTGAGACCCTGGTGGAAAAATTTATGCCTAAGTATCTAAGGTTACCTGACTGTAAAGGAGTAGTAGTTGTGTTTTGGAAATTACCATTCAAAGGCAAAACTGTTGATTTGCTCCAGTTGACGGAGTAGTCTGATATAGATGAGAACTGATCTATAAGTGATATTGTCTTCAGAAGAGAGGTTGATGAATTCCTAAGAAAGAGTAATACGTCATCTGCATAAAGGCTTATCTTATTGTCTATTTTTTCTGTTTGAATTCCTTTAATATCTACACTTTGTCTAATTGCCGCTGCTAGTGGCTCAATGAAGATAACAAAGCGAGGGAGAGAGCGGGCAGCCCTGCCTGGTGCCCCTCTGCAAATGGAAGCTTTGAGAAATTAGTTCATTTGTCCTAAGACGTGCATTTGGAGAGCTGTATAGTGTTTTGATCCAGCTTATGAAGGATGAACCAAAAGCAAATTTATGTAGAACTGCAAATAGAAATTTCCAATTTACTTTGTCAAATGCTTTCTCTGCATCTAGAGATATAACCGTGGTTTCTAATTTGTTAATGGAGCAGTAATCTATAACTTTCATTAGTCTACGTATATTATTGGCTGTCTTCCCTTGATAAAACCTGTTTGGTTAGGATGTATAAGAAATGGAGTGACTTTCTCTAATCTTTTGGCAAGAACTTTGCAAATTATTTTAAGGTCTACGTTTATGAGTGAAATTGGGCGGTAGCTGGATGTCAGTGTTGGGTCTTTACTGGGTTTCAGAGGCAGGCTAATATTGGCACAGTTCATGTCTGGAGATAGCGAATGATCATTCTGAATTTGAGTAACCATTCTGATAACGGGTGCTAGCGCTGGCCAAAATGCTTTGTAGAATTCTGCTGGGAAGCCATCGGGACCTGGGGCTTTATTATTTGGAAGATACTGTAGAGCTTCATTGAATTCAGATAATGATAGAGGAGAGTCTAAAACTCTAATCTGTTCAACATTTAGCTTTGGCAGATTTATATTGCTAAGAAATTTGTTGATGTCAGCATCAGATACATTATTCTGTGATGAGTATAAAGCTTCATGAAATTCTGTGAAAGATTTATGAATTTGTTGGGGATCATGAGTTATATTCCCCATCGAGTCTTTAATAGAACAAATTGTTGATTTTTCTTGATTTAGTTTTAACTGGTTAGCCAGGAATTTTCCAGATTTATTGCCTTGTTCAAAGTTCTCCAATCGCAATCTTTCTACCAGAAATTGTGTCTTCTTATCATTTAGTTCATTAAAATCCAATTTTAGTTTTCTCAGGTTGCTAATTATATGCTCTTGCAGTGAGGAAGCATAAGCTGTTTCTAATGATTTAATTTTCTGTTCTAATTCTGCTACATGTGTTTTTTCTTTAATTATTTTTTAGAGAAAATAGAAAGGTAACAGAAATGTGATGCAGAGAAAAAGAAGCGAAAAAACATGGAAGGAGACTTAAGTGAAGTAAAACAGTGCAGGTTCCAAAGCAACAACCCAGAGTGACAACAGCAATCAGCAGGGGAAAAACAAGGGACAAAAAAGATGAAAGATAATAATGGTAACAAGAAGGTTCCATAGCACTACGTGCTTTGGAACCTTAATAACAATAAATGAAGAGACGACGACAATATCTTAAGCTGATTAGACCAGCAATTATTATTCTATCTGGACCTTTCTGCAAAACCAATGTGCAGAGGAAAGTTTGAGTGAAAAGAAATACTAAGCTGAGGATGTTGGTGTGGATACAGATCACCTGCTGCAGATTCAGAACAGCCAGGGGGTGGAATTCTGGTCGCGATAGAGCCGTCCGCTGACACTGTCACTTTCTTGCATCTTTGTGGTCTTGCCAGCTAATTTCATTGTCCAGACAACTGTACAATGACAATAAAAAGTCTTGAAGTCGTACAGTTTGTCGACCGCGATGACAGCACGGGAGCCTCCTTTGATTAATTTTTTCCATATTGGAAACAGGGTCTTTCTTCTCTCCAGGATCTCCATAGGAAACTGGTCGTTGATGATAAGGTCAGTTGCGCACCGCCATGTTCAATACTGCAGTGGTTCTCATCGAGGTCTTGCGTTGTTATAGCATGCTGGCTCCTAAGCACTGCTGTCTGATACCTGTTTGAGGAGGCTGGAACACATTTGAGCTAATGTGACTAAATTCTTCTTTAAAACTTGTTGGTTAAATATTTAATACTTATTTAAAATGACACAGTAACAAAAAGAGTTAAATGTATAAATATACCCTAAATTCTCCATGTCAGACCGCGCCTCTGGCCCTGTGTGTACTCTGAGGATCACAACCCATCTCTAATTTTGACTGCTCATTCCAGCCAGGACAGCCCAGAAGGACGGAACACTTTTGAGTTAAAGTGGTTAAATGGCACATTTTATACCTTACATTAAAATAAAACATTAACCAAAAAATAGAGTTTAGTGCAAGGTCTGACATTACCGGTGTTTCGGAGTACATGTGGGTTACTAAGTTTAAATTGTTCCTTAAAACTTGTCACTAAATGTTTTCATTGTTTCATACTTATTTTAAAATAACACGTTAACAAAAGAGTTACTGTTTATCTTCTTTAAAACTTATTGGTTAAACTTTTTATACTTAAGTAAAATAACACTATAATGTAAGTTTAATATAAGTCTATTGTGCAAGGTGTTTTGCGATCTGTGAGGGGTGGCTTTGGGGAGCTGTCAATCATCGCGAAAGAACACCATATAAGCCCACTCACTGAGCTCCGCCCAAACCACCTATGATATCTCTCTCTTTCGTTACATCTAGAATAATGAGGGTTTTTGGGAAACACTCGCAAAACTGACTCATTCTTTCGTTATTGGCTGCCTCCCAGAGTAAACACCTCATCAGCTCTACAATGCTCCAATAAGAAAGCTGCAATTACTTACTTTCTGAGATTTGTTAAATGCAGTATCTTTGCTTGGAACAAAGGGGTGTTTACTCTTGGGGGCTGGAGCAGTGAGAGAGGAGGGGGGGCAGTGTGAATAAAGGAGAAGATGAGGAAGGACAGGCACTCTGTCTCCAGGCAAGCAAGCAGGCAGGATGCGGGCAGCGATGGACCTTCTATGGCTGGTGTCTTTCACCCTGATGCTACCGGCACTCTATCAGTGCCATCCACTGTGAGTAAACTGCTTATCTGGATACTCATCAGTACAGACATATTGTGAATACACTGCCAGTCTGGATACTCATCAATACAGACATATTGTGAGTGCACTGCCAGTCTGGATATTCATAAATACAGACATATTGTGAGCATACTGCCAGTCTGGATACTCATCAGTACAGACATATTGTGAATACACTGCCAGTCTGGATACTCATCAGTACAGACATATTGTGAGTACACTACCAGTCTGGATACTCATCA